ACTTATACAATGCTTTGACTACTGTGTGGATGCACATATTTGTGATGTCAATGCTGAAATGATTCATTGTGCAGCTCTAAGTTATATTTAATATACATCCATTCATTACTTTCATTTGATACACTTTCTATGTATATAAATATGTATTTTTATGTAAAGTTAGCCAATTTAATTTGATGTAAACTCTAAAATGTGACGTCTCATCATTGGCGTTTGTACTGTACAAGTTGATGCAACAATACAAGTACTGTACTGATCTTCAAGCCAACACACGGAGTTATTATAGTCCTAATGTTGCTCAGTATGAACCGAGCGCTGTATGTGTCCCACACAAACCCCCATGATCCTGCTGTTTTGCAGGCCTGCCCTAGCAGCTGTTTCCCAGGGTCAGTGCATTTGTGGCATGCAAGGGGTGACAAAACACATGAAGCACAGGTCATATCTGCTCTGCTAGGAACTTGAGAATGGTGAACACTCATTTTTTTTGCAGATACGAAGGTAACTATTTGCATTTCCCACATATTTGCGCAAGTGGCCTTCTAGGAAGAGCAAGAACTTGAATTTTCGGTTGGCTTTGCCGATGATGAAATAGTTTGGGAGTTGCATGGGGGGCAGGGGTGTATTAGTAAGGGTGAAGTAAGAGGAAGTGAGCTATAGCAAGATGCCGGGTGGTTTAAGGAACTGACTCATTCATTTTTGAGCAATTCCTTCTACAGCTGCTGCATTACGCGACAGATTCATCTGCTTGAGTAGCGTGCACATTCCTACGTCTGGAATTTGACTTAAGCACTACGCATCTAGTGAGCTTTCCTTGCTTTCTACTGACTAGAATCAGGGTGGAGTTACTCAAAAGTGTGATTAAAAGCTGAAAGGGTTTCTCTTTGCATTTTTAAATTTAGGTATAAATGACCACACCGTCAAGACGATCTATACCCTTGTTAAGTCATGATGTGTAGTATACTGTTTCCGTGTCCAAGCTGCTACTCATTTGAATTGAGAAAATATTCATATATGACCACTTTTAGTCATATCACACATTAAAGCAAATTGTATAGTCTAGGGGAATCAAAATAAATTGTTTCTTCGGTGCACCGCGATGCAGACGCGGACAATTCGGTATCGATTCAGTAATAACCATAACCGGTTATTATGTAGTGACGTCATTTATCTCCTATGCGCTCTGTCGCAAGGGAGGTGAGCGTCGTTATTTACAACACTCAGCCAACTCAGGGCCGGCCCGTGGCATAGGCACCATAGGCAAATGCTTAGGGCGCTGTATATCCAGTGGGGCGCCAGAAATGAGCGCGCTCCAGTTGGTTTTGTTTTCGATTTTCCTGACACACTTTCAGTTATGGACGGCAATAACTCAAAAAACGCTTACCCTAAAAAGATCTAAAGTGTGTTTCCTACAGAAAGACAAAGCTGGTTATGTTTCACAGCTGTCTTTCTTTTTTTCGCTCGACATTACGAGCACTGCTCCGTTTAAGCCCTCGCAGTCTGCGTTTACTTTAGCCGACAGAGCTCGCGCTGAGAGGAGCTCTCTGTAAGGGACCGTCGGAAAAGTGCTTATTTTTTTTTTTCTTCGTTTTTCTGCTCTGCTCAGCTCGAGCTCTCCCTGTTGCAAGGGCTTAAGTGTGTTTGTTTGTGTGTGTGTTTGTTTGTTTGATGCTGTTTATGTTTGTGAATGTGTTTGAATGAGAGACAGTGTGTTGCTGTGTGTCTGTGTGTTTATACAGACAGCATGTTATAGCCTCCCCCCTAAAATATAACACTATATATGGAAAGCATCGTCAATGCACCGTGATGCACCGAGATATCGAATTGAACCGAATCAATGGCATGATAATCGTAACCGAACCGAACCGTGAGACCAATATAGGTTCACACCTCTAGTATAGTCACTGTCTACACAACAATATTTGGACTCGCTGCATCACAGACACCAATATTGAAACAATTTAGAAATATTTAATACCTTTCCAGCCATCAGACATAAGGCATGGGTATATATTTTGCAATCGTGGTTTTCAAAAGTAGCTTTGTAAACGTTTATTATTACCGTTTGTTGAGTCTTCCTGTTGGGGTTGTCACGATATTGGAATTCGGTACTAATTAATACGGAAATTTTAAAAACGCCCATTTCCTGCTAACATTTGAGCGCGTTTTAAACAGCGCTGATTTGCTATCGTGTTCACGTGCTCAACAGAAATGACTGTGATTGGCCGCGAAGGGCATCAGTTCACTGAACTCACCGCTGTTTACTGAGTGTAACCACAGATATAGAGGCACTGGAGCGTTTTAAAGCCATGATTCATCAGCGGATCGCTTGTATGTCAGCTTATAGACAAACCAGCTGATCGACGTGACTTTGAAACGCTCCAGTGTCTGTATCTGTGGTTATACTCAGTAAACAGCAGTGACTGATGACCTTCACGGCCAATCACAGTCATTTCTGTTGAGCACGTGAACACAAAGGTAAATCAGCACTGTTTAAGAACACGCTCAAATGTTAGTAGGAAATAGACTTTTTTTAAATTTAGGAGTCCTGCGGAAAAAGTGATTGACAGGTGGTAATTTAAATAACTTATCTTAATTTATTAATGATTTGGTTATGGGTAAAACAAAGACCATGTGGGTCAGGCAGTTGAAACGGTAGGCTACAAATAATTAATTCATTATGAATGAATTAATTATTCATAAATAATTAACTCACCACCGCCTATGACGCGATATTTCACATTAGACATCGTACGATGCCAAATTGGTCGACATCGCCCAACCCTAGTTGAGAAACCTCTTTTGGACAATATTCACCTTTAATATTTCTCTTGCACAATATCCTGCACAACTTTGTTCAGTCTCATGTAAATGTACTTGTCTTAATTGTATGGTTAAGAATCTTATAGTATATGTTAGTTATGCATAGGTCCAGTGTTGTTTGTATTTATGATTCATTTATGTAGCACCGTTGTCCTGCGAGACACAACATTTCGTTCCTCTGTTTGTCCACACATGTAGCAGAATGACAACAAAGCTCAACTTGACTTGAGATGACTAGAAAAGTTCATTTGAACTAAAAAATTTAAGGCACAGGCAGCAATATTATAAATATAGAAATTAATATATATATATATATATATATATATATATATATATATATATATATATATAATATATAAATATAATATTATACTGTACCATTGTTGTATTTACTTTGAAGAATGCTTATATACTGAACATGTAACACACATTTTTCACAAAATTGTGCTTTCGTAGTTTACAAATACACAAATTTTGTACTTTGAAAACCTTTCAAAAGTTTACATTTTCATGCCGCCAAAATAATTTGTTAATGCACAACCAAATAAAACAAAAGGTTTACTGTTTTTAAATTAAAAACACAGTTTGAGCTAACTTCTTAGCATGAATAAAAGTCAAAGTATGAAGGAATGAATTGTGATGAATCCTGGAAATGCCTTCTTTTTTGAAAAAATGTCTGTGTGTAATATATTAGAGTCATATTTAGACTTAAAAATGTGTCTATATATACAGTAGGTGACTGATTACTAGGGGTTTGGAACAAACCCAATAAACAATGTGTAAAAGTTTCCCCCCGGAAAACACAAGTCACATGACAACATTAACTTCGCAAAAACTTCTCTCCACTGACATTTGTCTCACAATTGGGTAATTGACTGGAGTGTGGGGGTGATGCTATGAATCTTTTCTCTTGGAGTCCTCCATGCAGTCACACATGACCATGTGGAGGCCATATTCAAATCACATGAGGTCAGTCACACTAGAGACTCAACACAGCCAATAAAACTGTGAAATTATGAGCAGTTGTCTTTAATCCGGACATGCTGATGTCAGTCAACTGAGAACAAGACAAAGACACTGAACAAAAAACGGCTTTCATGAGCTAAGAGTGACCTACTTCATCATAACCTCCCTGCCATGATGGCATGACGTAATGCTTTTAAACAAACCATAAGTCGTGCACATTCAAATAAAGATAATATGCATAATAAACCAAAACAAACTAGTGGTTTAATGTGCACAATTCATTATTAAGCCCATAAAATGACCAAAGAAACAAAGCAACATGTACTACAGTGACATCCAATGCCCATAGTATGTTTTAAACATAAACAGCACTTCATTGGTGCAATCCAACACAAAAGAGCCATTATTATAAGGTCATTCATATCAAGGACAAGCCTGTAGAGCAGTTCATATAGAGACATTCACCTATGCAAGGTAAATAACAAGAAATACAATATAGCACGTTCACACCTAAACTAAAGATATATTAATGCTTTGTTTAAAACACTGAATTATTCAGCTATAGAGAAAGAAATTATATTTACTAGGCTAAACTTTTCAAAGCAAACGGATACTAGTTATTGAGTGAGGTAAAGTTGGTCTTATATTTGCACATTCATTCATTTTTTTTTTTTTTTGGATTATTTATTTATTGCAGAACAAAGCCAGCATACATAGCTAGCAACAACTATATACAAGCCAGGGTTTGCATTAAATAAAAATACATAAAGAAATTACAAATAATAATAATAATAAAATAAAGACATTACCACATTCATTCATTTTTGACCAGGGACAACATGTGACAGTCCCTATATAGTTTACCATGCTACTTTGAATATTTAGTTTGAAATCTCATGCAAGTATGATTTCAAAACGACATTAGCTCTATCTAAATGACTGCTCAATGATACTAACATGTTTTCCTTATTTAGAATATGCTAACAATACTTTTCTGAAATTGTATTATTAAGGAGAAAGTCTAAATGTGTGAATATTAAACCATCTTAATCCCAATCAGTTAATGTATATCATAGCCTACGTGTATGCCCTGACATCATAGATATGTTAGAAACTATATATAACACGTGGTTGTGCTTTGCTGTTGTAACAATAAAGCATGTAACTTCCAAAACAAACAACATAATAAACAATATAAATAAATAACAATTCACCTTGAGGTTCGGAGGTTTAAGCAAAGGCTTCTTGAACAGAGAAGTTCTGGCAGTGAAAAAATATTCCTCTGAATCCTCTTCCAAACTACTGTATCCACTACTCATGGTGCTCGTCCACGACATTTGAAAAGAAACTCTGACACATCCAAAAACTGAGCTTTATATCAGCGAAAAAATACAGTAAGATTTAACTTGAATCAGCACGAGTCACTGTCGCTGCCTAACCATTCGCTTTAATTCGCTCAATAAGGCGAAACAGTCGGCTAATTCCAAAAACGCGTTTACGTTTCTTGTTAAATGTGTATTACCTATATATATAACAAAAGATCGGCGTGTTGAAAATACTTTAAATGCTCCAAACGCCACGCAAATCGCGCTCATTCCTTCTTAAACACTTCTCAAACTAAAACTGAGTGACTAACCGGAGCGGCTCACTGGAAAAGAACACACCCACATACACACACACACACACTCTCAAATACACACACAATGAGAAGCATTTCCTCGTTTACTGCCTCCTGTTGCGTCCCCTACCTGCGCACCTGGATAGTGTTGTTTTCCGGATAACTCCTTTAATTAACATCTTCAAAGTGATATGATGAACTAAACGCATGTTAAACAAAAATATTAATTTATTAGTAGTGGTAATCCGAACACACAGTTCCTCCGCCACTTAAAATAGTTCATTAGTGTAACTGTACACACTGTTGCCAAGCAACGTACACTAAACCGTGCAGCGCATTAATACATAATCCAAATTTAAAAAATGGCGTCGAGAATCGAAAGCGTCTCACTTGCTCAATTAATGACTTAATGTTGATAACTAAGATAAAAAAACTCTTCTAACGAGTAGTTTAGTTCATTTAACTGTTGGCAAAGAAATACAGCAGCTGCTTAATGCATTAATACAGCATTTTAAGACATTTTACAACTTCGAGTTACACTCCATCATTCATCTGCTTCAGTAGTATATTGTTTCTGTCCAAACATCAAATTATATAAATGTAAATCATACAATGTAAGTTCACGTACCTCTATAAGTATGCAGCATACAGACGCAAGCTTTCTAATTTTCCTTTTATGAAACATAGCATGGACTACTTGAGTTGGTGCTGGCCTTCCCATCTGAGCTAAAAATATAGGTTTGGGGCATTTAATACAAGGCAGTACGCCCAAAGGGTGTAGCTGTGGACCAATGCAAACGTGTGGACCTACTGTAAAAGTGGAAGACAGTTTGATGACAGACTTCTGTGAGAGAAGACGTGTGTGTGTGTGTATTGTTTTTTTGTGGTTTACGAGGACAATTTTGGATTTACCTTGTGCCCTTGTAATTTAAAACTGTTAAAAAACATACTTAACGGGGTGTTTTCAGATTAAAAATTTGGCAAAGGTTTCCTGGTATGGTTAGGTTTAAGGGTAAGTGGGTTTTACAGTATAAAATACATTTGTAAGCCTATGAAAAGTCCTCCACCAAAAATAATGTGCGTGTGTGTTCAATTGCTTCAGGCATGAAAGCAACACCTTATTAAAAGCTCTGAATGTTAATTAACATTGTTTGGACAAGGACCTGTGGCCATGGCTGCACAGCGGAAATGAGTTGGCACTACTTTTACATCTTCTCACATTTCAGGTCAAGTTATCTGATTATTCGGTCATGAAGAACCAACCTCCAGCTGCAAGCCAACCATTGCCAAATTACAAGCCTCATTTTGCATGACTTTATTCAGACTTAAAGTCTGGTTTTGGATCTACTCCATAAGCAAACCCATCATTTTTGGGGTTAGCCACTCTTTGTAATTTATCCAAAGACGCTGGGTCCTGTTTTGCTGTAGAAATCTGGAGAATTAGAAAGTGTAAGTTGTACTGTAACAGGCCTGTAGCTGCGTGGGGGTAACAACCCCCCACAAATTTTGCCACTCATTTGACCTATTTTAACTGCCATGTCATCATACATTTTGGAAATAACCCATCAATGGTTTTAAGAATATGCACAATATGACATAAGTGAAGTCAACTTTCACTATTGATCGACTATTGTTAAAAAAAATCAAAAACATTTTACAAGTAGTCTTACCTTTATTTAAAATCCTGAACCTTATTCTTAAGAGAAACAAATGACCAATAAGAAGGTCCGAAGCACCAAAAGCAGCCTATTAATGGTAACTTTAATACTAATTAGGCTGTGTATAAAAATCTAAAATCAAACAAAAAGTTTTCAGAGGTAGCTTAAATAATGTGTGAGGAATTCATCAGAATAATCATCAAAATCAGTCCAGGGCACTCAAAAAACGAGGAAAAAATAATAAAAAGCCTTTATTGACATCGCTGTTCCTTAAAACTGCGGCTACATCAGGTTACCCTGATGAAATCAAGTGTTATCAAAATGTGTAGGCGCAGTTTTAAGAAATAGCCATGTCCGTAAAGGCCTTTTAACATTTTTCCCACATTTTTCGAGGGCCTTAGACTGACTTTTGCTGTTTAATTAGGCTGTTGTAGTTAGATGAATTTTCAAGAGAGGCCAGGAGGAAAATCGTGAAGCTCTTTTTTATATTTGTTTATTATAAATCTTTAGGAAATATTTTTGGCACATCAAAAATGGAGGATACAACAAGCTAATCCAAATAGTGCTTAAAAATGCCACTTATTGGGTTATTTAAACATCGTAATTAAATAGAAAATGAGGTGAATTACTGCAGAAAAGTTCACATTTTGAGAAAAAAAGAACCACCCCTTTCACCAGGCTGGCTACGGGCCTGTGTAAGGGTTAGTTCACCCAATAATGATCATTTATGTACTCACATTCAAGTGGTTTCAAACTTTTATTTGAGTTTCTTGCAGATTCGCACTCTACAACATCAGAAAAGTCCGACCCTTCCTATCTGAACATGCAGCTCAACTCCTTGTTCAAGCTTCTGTTCTCTCCAGACTGGACTATTGCAACTCTCTACTAGCCGGGCTTCCAGCTAACTCTATCAAACCTCTTCAGCTGCTTCAGAACGCAGCAGCACGGATGGTATTTAATGAACCTGAAAGAGTACATGTCACTCCGCTGCTCATTCGTTTGCACTGGCTGCCAGTTGCTGCTCGCATCAAATTCAAAGCTCTGATGTTTGCTTACAAAGCGGCTTCTGGATTTGCTCCTTCTTATCTGCTCTCACTTCTGCAGATGTATGTGCCCTCCAGAAACTTGCATTCAGTGAATGAACGTTGCCTCGTTGTTCCATCCCAAAGAGGGAAGAAATCACTTTCCCGAACTCTCGCATTCAATCTGCCCAGTTGGTGGAATGAACTCCCTAACTGCATTAGAACGACAGAGTCACTCGCTGTCTTCAAGAAACAACTAAAAACTCAACTATTTAGTCTCCACTTTCCTTACTAATCTGCAATTGCCTCTCTGGCTTCACCGCTAACTGTATTACAAAAAAGTTAATAAATTACTAATGTTTTGCTTCTTACACTTTACATACTTGAAACTTGCCTACAGCGCTTATTCATTGTTGCTACTATAGTTGTGTAAGTTGCTTCCTTGTCCTCATTTGTAAGTCGCTTTGGATAAAAGCGTCTGCTAAATGACTAAATGTAAATGTTTCTTTCTTCTGTTGAACACAAAGCAAGATATAGTGAAGAACGCTGGCTAGAACAGCCATTGACATCCATAGTAGCAACTAAAAAAATACTATGTAAATCAATAGCTGTTTTTTTATTGCATTCTTCACTATCTTGCTTTGTATTCAACAGAAGAAAAGAAACAGGTTTGGACCGAGTTGAGGATGAGTAAAGGGTAAAGTTTTTTTTTTTTAAAGCTAAATATTATTCTGTTATATATTCGGGGATTAACATTTATCATATCCTAAGCAAATTTTCCACTCAACCCGTGACAGCCCCAAGCTTTGGCTTGCATTATCAGTCAGGCGAAATTCATTACTGCAACCACCGCCAAACAGTTTTAATATCAACTTCTAAGAGCTCCAATCCGAAAGTGCACAGACTTCAGTTTTTACTGTGTTAACAGCTGCTTTGAGGTTTTGGGCTTATTATGTTTCCAAACAATTTTCCACTTTATGCATGTATATTTTGTATTTTACAGTGCGTCACATATGATAACAGCCCACCCAGTCAAGAGAAAAACGTCCAAAGAGTGAAACCCAAGCAACATCTGCAGTAGATCAAGGACAGGGCTAACCACGCCTCGCAAACTGCAGCTTTCGAGACGTTTGTGGAAGGACAGCGCTTAATTTAAACATGGAGAAGACCTAAAAATACCCTGTCAGAAAAGGGCTGGCCAAAATCCTGCAAACCAAAGGCATCAGTGGTAGGTCAAACTCAGCAGACTGTCAGATTAAACAACTATTTTATGGTTTTGGTGAATTGGTGACTAGTTTAGCAAGATGCTATTTGTTCATTTTCGTTGCTTCACACTTACTGTTGTTCTTTTGTACTTCACACGAGCTTTTTTTCTTCTAAAACATATAACAGCTTATCCAGAGCTGTTCAGAGCCTGATTATCCTTCAACTATTCTGAAGGATAAAACACTGCTCTATTTATTTATTTATTTATTTATTTACTTACTTATTTATTTATTTATTTACTTATTTACTTATTTATTTATTTATTTATTTACTTATTTATTTATTTATTTATTTATTTATTTATTTATTTATTTATTTGTTTTTGTTTTCATTTACATTTTCTTTATTGATTATATTTGAATTAATATTTTCTATTGATTGCTATACAATAGAATATTTGTGCATATGCAGATAATAAATGCATAATAAAGGAAAGTGTAAGTCCCCTCTATAATTCACTGTTGCCAAGGAGCATGAGAAAGAAATGTCCTACTTCACAAGGAAATTCGTTCCCAAGCCAGAACAATGAGAGTCCAGCAGAAATGACCTGTGACTGCAACCTGTAGCTTTTCCCGCCTGTGGGCTTCAGCCTTCATTATACATTACCCACATTCCTTTGCTGAAACGCAGTCACTCATTCTCAACATACACATGCACTTTTCATGAGGTGGCGTTTACGTGTGTGTGTGTGTGTGTGTGTGTGTGTGTGTGGAATGTGTCATAAATCAACTATTTCTCATGCATTTTTTAGTGGCGAGAGCATACAATATGACCTCAGGAAGAGCACACCTTACTGCTCTCGCCTCGTCCCGTCCGGCTGGGTGTGGTTTTAAAGGTTGGAGCGTAAAAACATTTCAGGCCTCTAATTGTCCTAAATTATAAGGCTAAACCTGTAATGACAAATTGCTGCATGTTTAGAGCTTGCTCTTTAATTAGACTTTAAAAGAGCATTGAATTGAGGTAACTTTGCTGACTGAGAGGCCTGTAATTAATTGAGTTTTAGATTCATTTGCACTTTTAAGTGCGTTTATCTTACATTAGAATGACTTTTAGGGTTTGTTTATGGTTATTAGGATGCATTGTAACACAAGAAGACAACTCTTATTCACAC